ACCTTTTTGGGGCTCATACAATTCTACTATAATTGAAAAGTTAACTTTTTTGGGCTAGGGTACTCTGCCTCTAAGGTTATCAATCATCATCGGGATGAAAAGATACTCGAGGGGCCTTAATCACTTAATCATTAGAATAGGGTTTTGGGGCCCATGATACCATAAATAGAATAAGGAACCCCCTATAATAGTACTGATAAGTATGGAGGCCCCTATGTTATGCGCCTTGAGTGCTTGACGCATCCCAAGCCCGAAATCGCAAGCATGAGCCCCCAACTCGCTTCGATTATAGCTTACATACCCACTATTCAGGACCATAAGGGTTTCTTCAGTATTTTATTCAGAAATATGAGAGAAGCGAATCAAAACGAGTACTATTCCTTACGGCCTTAGGGTTCCTTATTATACTTATAACATAAGAGCCGCAAAAAGATTTTTTTCTAGTGTTGAAGGCTCTGCATTACAGTCGGAACCTCAGAGGTGTTGGTTTAACTCAGGACAACGCCCTCCAGCCGAACTGGCTGCACCTCCCAGTGGGCTACCACGGCCGGGCGTCCAGCGTTCCGCGCTCAGAAGAGTTCGACTCGATATCGGAGAGAATAGGTCAGGGTTCAGGGGTTTACTTAAGTTTTGAGGGATTTGTGGTTTAGTGTGCACGTAGGGGCTTGCGCGAAGGGCTGTCGGATTGTATGTTGCTTGGTTTGGAGCTTTGAGGTTTTGTGGATAACGTGGCTTTATCATTTGAGTTATGTTTTGGCACTAGACGGCCAATCTTACTGAGCATTGAGAATAGCACACTAGGGTTTTGTGACACATGTTATAGCTATTTGAACTAGAAATGACCAGATTGCCAACTGTTCAAACTCCTTGTGGTACCCCATCGTTTGTTGTCCGTGCTACACTGAGTCCGTGTTACTTGTAGAAGAATTATACTACTAGGGCTTTGTGTCTCCGGGGTTTGTTCTCCCCCGCCCGCATTTTCGTCCAACGTAGGATTGTTGGGTTTAGGAGTTAGGGGTTTAGGGGTGTATCTAGACCCCCCAACTGCCCCTTATTGTAGCCCCTGACTACTTCTCAATGAGAAATGTCAGAGCCGTTTGCAGGGAAGTTGGGAGGTCCTGGTAGGGTCTAGGGTTTAGGATCTAGGATTCTTGGGCTTCGAGCCCCAATAACCCTAATAACCCCTAAGCCGCGGCCCTCGAACCCTCCATCTGCCAATCTGAGGTTGTTGTGTCTGGCACCCCTGCACCTTGGTCTGCAGAGGAGAACGCCATTCCCCGAAGCTCGATCACATCCCCGCAATTCAATCACTAACCCAACCTGTAGCCGAAAACACTCTACCTGTTCAGGGTTCCCTGTTATGGTTTCTATGTAGCATTCCTTAAAATGGTAGGGTTTTGGTGGTTAAGCTTGACCCTAAAGCTATTATCCCACAATCCTGACAGCTTAGGATTTCCGTTCGCGGGTCTACGAGCCCTATGCCCGAACCTTAAGCCATTACCCCCCATAGTAGTTCCTTTTTGGGATTACCTTATAGGAAAAGGACCTACTGCGGGGCCTATGGGTAAACCCAAACCCGAAACCCTAAACCCGTAAACCCTAAACCCTAAACCCCTAAACCCTAAACCCCTAAACCCTAAACCCTAAACCCAAACCTTGCAGTCAGATCCTCAGAGCCGTTTCTCAGGTGGCAAGGCCGAGGGGCCAACTTCAAAAGAACAGAGAAGATCCATGGGAAGGTGGGGAGCCGGGGATCGGGTTTAGGGTTTAGGTTTTAATGGTTTAGGGTTTAGGGTTTAGGTTTAATGGTTTAGGTTTTAGGTGGCCGGGGAAGCTGCGCGTTCATGCTTCCTGACGTTTTCTAGGATTTAGTAAGTAGGTAATAAATAGACAGTTGTAAGTGCCCTACATGGGCTCCTGATTTGGGTTATGGTAAGTGCAGCTCTATACTAAGTCTCCCGACCTTCAGAGTAGCATTGTGGGTTTCGTATAGGGGTCTATAAGGATCTGCAAGGCTTTAAAGCTCTCTAGGATGTTGTAGGGCTTAAGGACGATGAAGGGGGGGAGGGGGCGGAAGCTATGCTTTTAGGCTTCCATGAAGAGTTTTCTATCGGCACTGTGGGGGTTTGAGGATCGAAGCATTGAGGGCTTTATTAAACTTTCGGTGCAGGGTTTCGGCCTCATCAGCGTGTCCTTGGGCTTTCTGGTGCTAATGAGAGTTTCTAGTTTGGGATTCTTTGGTTGAGGGGTTTAAGTTTAGGGTGTAGTGGGGTTTCAGGGTGTAAGTGACTGGAATTCAGGGCCCGGAGCTCGAGTGCTTGGCCGGTCACGGCGGGCTCTGCGGGTTTACCTGTCCGCACACATGCTAAGACATGACAGCTGCCACACAAACAGAGAGACCCTCAGTCCCTACCCTGAACTACACTAATCTTTTGTAACTAATTATAAGGTTCTTATTATGATTTCGAATACAGAACTTATAGGGACTGTACAAAACCCTAAACCCTCAAACCCTTAAGCCCTAAACCCGAAACCGTGGGCTCAAGGCATGATCAAGCCCCGCACTCACAACAAACGCCATCCCCAAGGATCGAAGCTCCTCATGGGGATGCGTAGAGTGACACGTCAGCCCGACATCTGTTTTAAGGGGAGTCTTAAACCGCCGAAGCATGTATCTGGAATAGAGGTTCGCGGCATCGTCGTTCTTGTCTGTGTTTATTTACAGACTCTAATCGGGTAGTCTCAGAAATTCCCAAGACGTTCATATGTTATTGCAAGATATGGAACTGTAGAGTGCCAGGTGAGAAAGGAGGCCGAATACCGCAGATTCCGTGGTAGCATAAATGGCCCTCAGAAGCCCGAAGGCTTTTGGTCCGTTACTGAGGCCCGTTATATCTCGTGGTTACACTCTATTTCACGACAGTCGGTACACCTTGGAGACTGCCCCCACTCGTATCAGTTGGATAATATTCATAATATAGATATACTAGGCCCTTAATAGTAGCCCTATTCTAGACTGTTACTCTATGGGGGCAGTATCCGAGGTAAACCCCACTGCTCAAGCCTCGAAGCCCCTATCCGGATCCTCGCCCTCGGCACCCTCAAGCTCCGAAAGCCTGCAACCCTAAAACCCTGCAGCCCAAAATCCGTCACTCGAGCCCGAATCCTGAAACCCTCCAGTGAGCACACATAGTGGGTGAGATTGCAAGCCTCTATGGTGGACACAGTAGTCACTGTAGTGTCTGTGTCTGCCTGTAACAATCAAAGAAAGGTACCATTTTGATTTTACAGCTCCTTCACGCCCATTTTGTAGTCCTAGGTTCCTTAAACAGTTACCCAACACACAAAAGGGAGCCCTGTTTATTCCTAGGTTACTGGGCATCCTAAACCCTAAACCCCTAAACCCCTAAACCCCTAAAACCCCTAAACCCTAAACCCCTAAACCCCTAAACCCTAAGCCCGAAGCCCTAACAAACCCCTTGCATCCTAGTAATTTCCCAAATCCTGACGGAGGCTCAAGCTATGGGCCGTGCAAGCTCCTCGACTTTGAGCTAGCCAGGGCCTCAGCAGAGAGCAGGGTTTACTTACCTGTGGCTAGTAGGGAAGGGAAGACTGGTAGTAATAGTAGTTATAAGTTTGCCCCATTCCTCCATCCCCTACTAACCAAAGGTTAGTTTAGGGGTTTTCGGGTTTGGGGTCTCTTTCGTGTCTAGGGTTTAGGCGTTTTAGAGGTTTTAGTGTTTTTTTGTTTTTTTTGGGGGGTGGGCGTTTAGGGGGCTTAAGGGTATAACAAGGTTTAGGGGTCTACGGGTTTAGGCCGCTTACGGTTTCGGAGCGAGTGTAATGAGGGGTCCTTCGGTTTTGTATAGAGCTTTCAAAATACGTCTTGGATGGCTCCTTCATGGGGCTTTGTGCGTTTTGTGCAAGGGTCGATGACGCTTTACACGACTTGTACGGCAATGCGGGATCACGTGTTACTGGCAATACGGGACCCTTGTAGTTACTGTCTATATTCGGGAGTCTGTACCTTCTGGAACTGTGTGGGTCCCTCCGTTCTTAGAAATCGGGATTCGGAGTTGACTGGGCAAGAGTTGTTTCAAGCGGTTCGTGCTACTTCTGGCTCACCATATTGGCAGCCAGTAATCGGAGTTACCAGAACAAGGAAGGCATGCCATATATCCCGACTGACGTATTATGCTGACTCATCAGTTCTTGAACGACGCCCAGCCTAGGGTTTAGGGCCAACCACCTATAGAGGCTCTGAAAAGCCAGCGCCAGAAAAACTTGTAATGCCAAATCCAAGCCGCCTCGGTTGACTGCCCCCCAAAACAATCTGAAGCCTGAAGCCCTTCACCAACGGAGCAGCTGGATTTTCTGACCACCCCCGCTCCCGCCCCATCCTCCCTCCCCCCCGCTCCCGTCCCAAGCCCCAAATTTCTGGAGCTCCAGATGCTGCCTCAAGGCTCCAGGCTTCATGAACCATGGCTGAAGCAAGTTCAAGTTCGGGTTTAGGGCTCGGGGGTTCGAGTCGTCCAGAAGCCGTTTAAATCTAGGCGCATAAACCATTACCAATTTTTTGGTGGTTCCTTATCATATACAAATATGTGTATATATATATATATATATAGGTATACAAATCTCCCAAGGCCGCTATGTTAAACCATAAGCACCCCAAAACCCATAGGCTTCTAAGAAGACCTAGGGCCACTCGGACCCTGACCCTGCACCTCAAAGCAACAGGACCCAGGGTGCCCCAGCCTTCGAAAAACTGAAAGCATCAGGGTTCTTCTGCAGTAACTCGGTAGGGCTTTGGGACATTATTTATTATCCCTTTGGGGGTTAAGAGGATCTTATTTACTAAGATTTTTCAAAGGCTTCAAAAGCCCCACCTAGGTAAAGTTTATAAAGCAAGTAGATCAGCAGCTTGGGCCGCGTATCCAACGTCACAAAGCGATATAGCGAGGCTTACTAGCCAGGTAAAGGGAACTTTAAGTAAGCAGATGTTGCAGACGCCCTTTCGTGTCCACCGCTGTCTCTTCGACGGCGCTTCAATTCCGTGTCTGGCCTGGCCGAGCAAGCGCGACTTCAAGGAGGCACGGGTTCAGCTATACCAGGCCTTTTAAACTGCTAACCAGCGTCTATGGTATTCTCCTGTGGAGTTCGGGGTTTTTCTGAGGGTTCACGTCCCAAGATCCATGACTGTCATAGCATAGGGAGTTAAGCCACACAGGCCATGCCGTCTGAGGATTCCCGGGCCTTTTTCACTTCAACCCTGAGAGTTCCAAACTCCCCAAACCTAAACCATGTACGGCTTCAGGCGTTTAGGGTTCAAGGTTTCGGGTTTTAGGGTTTCGGTTCTGGGATTTCGGGGTTTTAGCGTTGTTTTGGGGTAATTATTGACTTGCCAGCCGTGCAAGGCGAAGGATCTGCTGCAGCATGCACATGGCATAGCACAGAGTCTGGGTGTCGACGGCATCGTCGTGCAGGACTGCCCGCACTTGGATGATGCAGGCATCGCGATCGACCCAAATCCAGCAGCAAGGTATTAGGACCCTAAATCCTAAACCTTCAGGTGCCTTGAACCATTTCGAGTTTGCCATACACCCTTTATGAAGCAAAGTAGAGAGTCTTGGAGGCTCACATAGAGCCTTATACAGACTCGAACTTTTATGATTTGTGACCAGTGCTAGTATAGAAGCCCGAATAGCTACCAATATTATTCCATGGGGTTCCGTGTTATTTCGAAATGTGAGAATTGTA